CCCCCCCTCCCCCCCCCCTTTTTTCCCCCCCTTCCCCCCCCCCTTTTTCCCCCCCCCCCCCCCCCCCCCCCCCCCCCCCCCCCCCCCCCCCCCCCCCCCCCCCCCCCCCCCCCCCCCCCCCCCCAAAAAAACCCCCCCCCCCCCCCCCCCCCCCCCCCCCCCCCCCCCCCCCCCCCCCCCCCCCCCCCCCCCCCCCCCCCTTTTCCCCCCCCCCCCCCCCCCCCTTTTCCCTCTCCCCCTCCCTCCCCCCCCCCTCCCCCTTTTTTCCCTCCCCTTCCCCCCCCCCTTTTCCCCCCCCCCCCCCTTTTTTTTTTTTTTTTTTTTTTTTTTTTTTCCCCCCCCCCCCCCCCCCCCCCCCCCCCCCCCCCCCCCCCCCCCCTCCCCCCCCCCCCCCCCCCCCCCCCCCTCCCCCCTCCCCTCGTCCCCCCTCCCCTCCTGCCTCCCCCTCCCCCCCCCCCCCTCCCCTTGCTCCCCCCTCCCCCCCCCCTCCTCCCCTCCCCCCTCCCTCCCCCCCTTTTTCCCCCCCCCCCCCCCCCCCTTTTCCCCCTTTCCCCCCTCCCCCCCCTTTTCCCCCCCCCTTTTCCCCCCTTTTTCCCCCCCTCCCCCCCTCCCCCCTCCCCTCCCCTCTCCCTCTCCCCTCTCCCCCCCCCCTTTTTCTCTTCCCCCTTCCTCCTTCCCCCCCTTTCCCTCCCCCCTCCCCCCCCCCTTCCCCCCCCCTCCCCCCCCCCCCTTCCCCCTCCCTTCCTCCCCTCCCCCCCCCCCCCTCCCCCTTCCCCTTTCCTCCCCCCCCTCCCCCTCCTTCCCCTGCTCCCCCCCCTCCCTTTCCCCCCCTCCCCCCCCTTTTTTCCCCCCCCCCCCTCCTGTTTTTCCCTTTTTCCCCCCCTTTTTCCCCCCTTCCCCCCTCCTCCCCCCCTCCTTCCCCCTTTTTCCCCCCCACCCCTTTTCCCCCTTCCCCCCCTCCTCTCCCCCCTTTCCCCCCCCCCCTTCCCCCCCTCCTCCCCTTTTCCCCCCCTTGCCTCCTCCTTCTCCTCTCCCCCCCTCCCCCCCCCTTTCCTCCCCCCCCTTCCCCCCCCCCCCCCTCCCTTCCCCCTCCCCCCCCCTCCCCCTTCCCCCCCCCTTCCCCTTTTTCCCTCTTCCCCCCTCTGCCTTTTTCCCCTCCCCCCTCCCTTCTCCCCCCTTCCCCCCCCCCTCCTCCCCTCCTCCCCCCCCTCTTTCCCCCCCCCCTTTCTCCCCCCCTTCCTCCTTGCCCCCTTCTCCTGTCCCCCTTTCCCCCCCTCCCCTTCCTCCCCTCCTTGCCCCCTTCCCCCTCCCCCTTTCCCCCCTTCCCTCCCCCCCTTTCCCCCTCCCCCCTTTCCCCCCCCCCCTCCCCCTCCCTCTTTTTTCTTTTTGCCCCCCCCTTTCCCTCCTCCCTTTCCCCCTGCCCCCTCCCCCTCTTTTCCCCCCTCCCCCCCCCTGCCCCCTTTCCTGTCCCCCCCCCTCCCCCTCCCCCCCCCTTTCCCCTCCCTCTCTTCCCCCCCCCCCCTTTCCCCCCCCCTCTCCCCCCTTCCCCCCCCCCCCCCCCCTTTCCCCCTTTGTCTCCCCCCTCCCCCTTTCCCCCCTTTTCTTCCTCCTCTCCTCCTCCCTCCCCCCCCCCCCCCTCTTTTCCCCCTTCCCCCCCTCCCCCCTTCCCCTTCCCCCCCCCTCCCCCTTCCCCCCCCCTCTCCCCCTCCTCCTCCCCCTCTTCATCTCCTCCCTCTCCCTGCCTCTCTCTCTCCTCTCCTCCTCCTCCTCCCTGCTCTCTTTGCCCCTCCCCTCCCCCCCTTCCCCTCCTCTTCCCCTCTCCTCTCCCTCTTCTCGCCCTTCCTGCCTCCCCCTCACCCCTCTCTCTTCTGTCCTCCTTGCCCTCTGCCTCTGCTCCCCCCTCCTCTCCCACTCTCCCTCTGCTCCCTGCCCTTCCTCCCCCCTTCCTTCCCCCCTTCCTCTCTCCCTCCTTCCCCTCTCCCCTCCTCTGCCTCTCCTCCTCCCTCACTCCCCTCCCTCTCCTCGCGCCCTCTCCCTTCTCCCCTTCGTCTCTCCCCCTCCTCTCCCCTCCCCTCCTGCTCTGCTCTCCCTCTTCCCTGCCTCCTTCCCTCTCCTCCCCCCCCTCCCTCCTCCTCTGCCTCCTGCCCCCTCTCCCCTCCTCCTGCTCCTCCTCTCCCTGCCCCCCCCCCCTCGCCCCCCCTCCTCCCTTTCCTTCTCTTCCCCCGTCCCTCCCTGACTCCTTCCCTCTCTCTCTCCCCCTCTCCTCCTCCCTCTCTCCTCTCCTCCCCTCTCTTCCCTCCCTCCTCCCTGCTCTCCCCCCCGGCCCTCTCCCTCCGCTCCCCCCTCCTCTCTCTCATCTCTCCTCTGCCCTCTCCTCTCTCCTCCTCTCTCCTGCCTCTCCCTTCATCCCCTCCTTTCCTCTCTCTTCTCACTCCCCCCCCCCTCCCCTGCCCCCCCCCCCCTCTCCTCCTCCCCTCTCTCTCTCCTCCTCCCCTCCTCCCTCCCCTCCTTACCTTCCTCCCTCCCCTGCTCCTTCTCTTCCCCCCTCCTCCCCTCCTCTCCCTCTTCTCCCCCCTTCGCCTGCTGCCTCTCTCCCTCTCCCTCTCTCCTGCTCTGTGCTGCCCCCTGCTGTGCCTCTGCCCCCTGTGCCTGTGCCCCCCTGATCCCCCCCTGCGTGCTGCCCTCCTGTTTGCTGCCCCCTGCCCCTCTGCTCTGTTCTGCTTGCTGCTCCTCTGCTGCCTTGCCTGCTGCTGCCCTGCTGCCCTGCTCCTGGCTGCCTCCCTGCCCCCCCCCTGCCTGTGCCCCCTGCTGCCCCTCCCCTGCCCCCTGCTGCTGCCTGCTGCCCTGCCTGCTGCCTTGCCCCCTGTCTGCCACCTGCCCTCTGGTTGCCCCTGCCCCTGTGCTGCTCCCCTCCTGTCTCCTGCTGCTGCTGCCCTGCTTGCTTGCTGCTGCCTGCCCACTGACTGCTGCCCTGCCTGCCCTGCCTGTGCCCCCCCTGCCCTGCCCACTGCTCGCTGCCTGCTCCCCCTTGCCTCTCTGCCTTGCCACCCCCCAGCTGCTGCCTTTGCCCTCCTCCTGCCCTGACCTGCCCTGGCATGACCTGCTGCCTGCCTCCTCCTGGCTGCCTGCATTCTGCCCTGCCCCCTGCCCCTGCCCTGCCTGCTGACTGTGCCGTCCCGCCTGCTGCTGCACTTGCTGCCCTCCTGCCCTGCCTGCTGTGCCCTGCTTGGCCTGCTTTGCTGTGCTGCTTGCCCCCTTTGCCACTGCTCCCTCACCCCCCACCTGCTTGCTCCCTCCCCCCTGCCCCTGCCACTGCCCTGCTCTGCTATGCTGCTGCCACCCTGCCATGCCCTGCTCTCCCTCCTGCCCCCCCCTGCCCCTGCCTGCCCCCTGCTTCTGCCCTGCTGCTGCTGTGCCTGCCCACTGCCTCCCTGCCTTGCCCCCCTCTCGCTGCCTGCCCCCTGCTGTCCCCTGCTGCTGCCCTGCCTGCTCCTGCCTGCTTGCTCTTGCTCTGCTGCTGCCCCCTGCTAGCCTGCCCCTGCCTCTGCTTGCCCCACTGACCCCTTGCCTGACCCCCCTTCTGCCTCCCTGCCCTGCCCTGCCCCCTCCTGTGCCCCCTGCTTGCTTGCCCTCTGACCCTGCCCCTCCTCTGCCCCTGCCCCCTCGGCTGACTGGCCTGCTGACTGCCCCCTCCCCCTGCCTCCCCTTGCCTGCGCCCTGACTGCCCCCCTGCCTCCTGCCTCCGTGCTTGCTGCTGCGGCTGCCCTGCTGCTGCCCCCTGCCCTGTTGCCTGCCCTGCCCTTGCCCTCCTCTCTCTGCCCCTGCCCATGGCCCTTGCCACCCTGTGCTGCTCTGCCCTCTCTGCTTCCCCGACCACTGCTGCTTTCTCTCTTGCCCCTGTCTGCCCCCTGCCCTGCCCCCCCCCTGCCTTGCTGCCCCCTCCTGACTGCCCCCCCTGCCTGATCCCTGCCCCCCCCCCCCCTGCTGCTGCTGCCCCTGCTGCTGTTGCTGCCCCCTCTCCTTGCTGCCTCCCTGATTGTGCCCCCCTGCCCTGCTGCTGCCTGCCTGCCCTGCACCTCTGCCTTGCCCCTGCTGCTCCTCTTGCTTCCCCATGCTGCTGCCCCTGACTGCCACCCTCCCTTCTGACCTGCTTCCTGCCTGTGCCTGCCCTTGTGCTGCCCTGCCTGCTGCCTGTGCCCTGCCCTCCTGCCTGCTGCCCTGCTGCCTCCTGCTGCCCCTCTGCCTGCCCTGACCACTGCCTGCCCTCTGCTCTTCCCCCTGCTTGCCTGCTGACCCCCTCCTCCTGCCCTGCTGTGCCTGCCCCTGCCTTGCTGCCCTGCCTGCTCTCCTCTCCTGTGCTGACCTCTCTGCCTGCCCTTGCCTGCCCTGCCCTGTGATCCTGCCTGCTGCTCTTGCTCCTGTGCTGCTCCCCTGCCCCCCCCCCTGCTGCTGCCTGCCCTGCCCCCTGACTGCTGCTGCCGACCTTGATTTTTGCTGCGCTGCCCCCCCCTGCCCTTGCCTCTGCTTGCACTGCCTTTGCCCACCTGATGCCTGCCTGCTGCTTACCCCTGCTGCCTGACCTGTCCCCTGTCCTTGCTGCCTTCTGCTTCCCCCTCCCCCCCTGCTGCCCCCCTGCCCTGACCCTGCCTGACCTGGCTGCTGACCCTCTGCTGCGCCCCCTGCTCCTGCCTGCCTCTGCTCCTGCCTGCCTGCTGCTCTGCCTGCCTGCCCTGCTGCCCCGCCTGTGCCTGGCCTGCCCCTGCCGCTGCCCTGCTGCCCTCCCCCTGACTGCTCCTCCCCCCTCCCCTGCTTGCTCCCATGCCTGCCTGCTGCCCCCTGCCTGCTGCCCTGCCTTGCCCCTGCTTCCGCTGTCCTGCCTGACCTGACCTGCCCCCCCCTGCCATGCCCTGCTGCCTGCCCCTGCTGCTGCCCTGCCCCCCCTGTCCTTCCTCTCCCCTGTCCCCTGCACTCCCCTGACCTGTGCCCTCCTTGACTGCTGACTGCCTCCCCCTGCTGTGCTGTCACCCCCCCTGCCTGCTGCCCCTGATCTGGACCCCTGCTGCTCTCACCTCGCCCTGCCTGACTGTCCCCCCCCCTCCCCCCCACCCTGCCCCCCTGACCCTGCTGCCCTGCCTGCCCCTGCTGCCCTGCCACCTGCTGCCCCCCCTCCTGCCCCTGCCCTGCCTGCCCCCCCCCCCCTGCTGCCCCTGCTGCTGCCTGCCTGCCCCCCTTGCCCTGCCTGCTGATCTGCCCCTGCTGCCTGCCTGCCCCTGCCCTGCTGCCCTGCCCCCTCTTGCCCCTGCCCCCTGCCTGTGCTGACTGCCCTGCTGCCGTGCTGCTTTCCTGCTGCTGCTGCCTGTTTTCTGCTGCCCTGCCCTCTGCCCCTCTGACCTGCTGCTGCTGCCCCCTGGCTTCCCTGCTGCTTGCCCTCTGCCCCCCTGCCCCTGCCTGCTCCCCCTGTGCCTCTATCTCTCCTGCCCTCCCTTCCCCCTGCCTGCTGCCCCTCTGTTGCTCTGCTCCCCTCCTGCTCCTCCTGCTCTGCCTCCCTCTGCTTGCCCTGACCCCCCTGCTGCCGTTTGGCCCCTGCTCCTTGCTGTCCTCCTGCCATGCCTGCCTGCCCCTGCCTGCCCTCTGCCCTCTGTGCATGCTTGCCCCTCCCCTGTGGCTGCTGCCTCCCTGCTTCCGCCTGCTGACTGCATGTTGATGCTCCTCCTCCCTCCTGCTGCCCCCCTGCTCCCTGCCTCCCTGACTCTGACTGCTGCTTGCCCTTGCCCTGCTGACCCCGGCTCCTCCTGCTGCTCCTGCTGCTGACCCCTGCCCTCACTGCCCCCCATGCTGCCTGCCCCCCTTGACTTGCTGCCTGCTTGCCTGCCCTGCCTGCCCTGCACTGCACTGCCCCCAGAGCTCTGTGCTGCTCCCCTGCTGCCTGCGTTGCCTGCTTGCCCCCCTCCTGCTCTCCCGCCTCTGCCTGCTTGATCTGCCTGCACCCCCTGCTGCCTCCTTGCTCTGCCTGACCCCTGCCCTGCTTGCCCTCACCCTGCTCCTCCCCCCTTCTCCGACCTCCCTGCCTGCTGCTTGCTTTGCTCTCCCTGCTGCTGCTGCCCTATGCCTGGACGTCCCTCCTGCCTCCCGCCGCCCCCTCCTGCTGCTTGCCCCTGCTCCTGCTCTTGCTTGCCCTGGCTGTCTGCTGCTGGCTCCTGCTGATGCCCTCCCCCCCTGCTCCCTTGCTGCTCCTGCCTGCTGCGTCCTTGCCGCCTTGCTGCCTGCCCCCTGCCCCCCCCCTCCTCACCCCTGACCTGCGGACGCCTGTGCCTGTGCCCTCCTTGACCTGCCCTACTGCCTGCCCTCTGCCCTTGCCCTGCCTGCCTGCCCCTGTTGTCTGCTGCCTGCTTGTCCTGCCTGCTGCCTTGCTGCCCCTGCCTGCCTGTGCCTTGCCTGCCCTGCCTGCTGACCCTCTAGACCCTTGACCTGCCTTGCCCCCTGCCTTGCCATGCTGCCCTGCTGCCCCCTTGCCTGCTGCCCTCCTGGGTGCCCTGCCTCTCCTGCTCACCCTCTCCTCTGCTCTGCCCCTTTCTGCTCCCCTGACTTGCCTGCTGCTACTGCTGCTGCTGCCCATGCCGGCCCCGCTCCCCCCCTGAATCCCCTCCTGCCCACTGCCCTGCTGCTGTCTGACCTTGTGCCCTCCCCCCCTGCCTGCCTGCCCCCCCTGCCCTGACCCCTGCTGCTGCCTCTGCTGCCTGCTGCCCCCTCTGCTCGGCTCTGTGCTGCTGTACTGCCTGCTGACTCTGACCCTGCCCCCTGCCTGCTGGCTGCCCTGACCTGCTGCTGCTGCGCCTGCCTCTCCCCCCCTTCTCTGCATGCCCTTGCCCCTCTGGCTTGGCCCTCTCCTTCCCCCTGCCCTGGTTTTTCCTCGTTTGGCAATCCCCCCCCACCTGCTTGCTGACTTAGACTCCCCCACTGCCCTGCTGCCCTTTTGCTTGCTGCTGCCCCCCCTTGCTTCCCTCTGCTGTTCTGCCCCTGATACTGCTCCCCTCCTGCCCTGCCCTCTGACTGCCTGGCCTCCCCCTGCTGCTGACTGCCTGCTGCTGCTCTGCTGCTGCCTGCCTGCCTGCTCCTCCCTGATCCTCCCTCCCCTGCTGCTGCCCCCTCTGCCCCCCCTCTGCTGCTCTGCCCTAGCCACCTTGCCTGACCTGCCTGCCCCCTCTCCTGCTGCTGCTGCCCTGCCCCCTCCCTTCTCCTTGCCACTCCTCTGTGCTTCCCCCCCCCTTTTTTTTTTTTTTTTTTTTTTTTTTTTTTTTTCCCCTGACCTGATCCTGCTGCCCTGCTTGCCTGCCCCCACCCCCCCCCCCTGCCTGCTGCCCGCTGCTGCTGCCCCCCCTGCCATCTGCTCTGCTGTCGACTTGCCCCTGCTGCCTCTGCGGCCCCCCCCATTGCCTTCTGCTGCCCCCTTGCTGCTGCTGCCCTTGACCCTCCCCCCTGGACTGCCTCGCTGTGCTTGCTGCCCTGCCTCTGCCCCTGCCTGCCCCTGACTGCACTGCTGCCCTGCTGACTCCCCCCCTGCTGACTGCTGACCGCCCCCCTGCTGCCCTCCCTTCCTGACCCCCCTTCCTCCGGCTCTGCTGCTTGACCTTGCTGCTTGCTGCTGACTCTGCCCCGCTTCTGCCTGCCCTGCCCCCTCCTTCCTTGCCTCTGACTCCTGCCCCCCCCTGCCCCTCTGCTGTGCTGCTGCTGCTGCTGACTGCTTGTCCTGCTGCTGACCCTGCTGCCCCCTGCCTCCCTGCCTGCTCCCTGCTGCTTGCCTGCTGCCTCCCCTGCTGCTCCTGCCCTAGCCTCTGCCGTTGCTGCCCTCGTCCTCTGCCCCCCCCCTTGCCTGCTGCCCCTGTGCCCCCCTGCTGCCTGCATTGCCTGCTGCCCTGCTGCTTGACTGCCCTTGACCTGACTGCTGGCCCTGACCTCTTGCCTGCTGCCTTGCTGCCTGCGGCTCCTCCCTGCCGCCTGCCCACTGCCTGCCCATGCCTGCCCTGCTCTGCATGTGCCATGACCTGCCTGATCCTCTGTGCTCCCCCTGCCCTGCTGCTGCCCCTGCTGACTGCCCCTGCTGCTGCCCCTGCTGTGCCCCTGCCCTCTCCCTGCCTGTCCTTGCCCCCCCTCGCCTTGCCTGCCTGCCTGCCCTTTGCATGTGCTGCCCCCCCCTTGCCCTCTCATGCCTGCCTCCTTTCCTGCCCTGCTGCTGCCCTTGCCCCCCCTGTTGCCCTGCCCTCTGCTCCCTGGCTGCCCCCTCCTTACTGACGGATGACCCTCTCTGCCTTGACATGCTGCCACCCCCCACCTGCCTGCTTGACTCTGCTCCTGATTCTCCTGCTGCTCACCCTGCTGCTGCCCCCTGCTCCCCCTCTGCCCTGCTGCCTGCTGACCTACCCCTGCCTACCTGCTGCTGCTGACCCGTCCTGCCCCCCCTGCCCTCTGCTACCCCCTGCTTCTGCCCTGCTGCCCCGGCCCTGCTGCTGCCCATGCCCTGCCTCCCCCTTGCCCTGCTGCCTGCCCCCTCTGCCTTATCCGTCCCCTGTCCCTGCCCTGCCCTGCCCCCCCGGCACCCCCCTGCTGCCTTCTGCCCCCCTGTGACCTGCTCCCTTCCCCTGCTGACCCCCTGACTGGTGCCTGACTGCTGCTGCCCCTGCCTGCTGCCTCTTGCCTCCCTGCTGCTGCTGCCCTTGCCCTGTGACTTGCCCTGCCCTGATGCCTGCTTGCCCTGCCCCTCTGCTGCCCTGCTCCTGCCCCCCCCCCCCCCCTGACTGACCCTGCCCTGCCCCCCCCTGCTGCTGCCCCTCTGCCCCTGCCCTGCTGCTGCCCTGCCTGCCTGACCTGCTGCCCTCTGGGACCTCTCCTGCTCTGCCCTGTACCTGCTCTGCCTGCCCTCTGCCTACCCTTGCTGCCTGCTTGCCCCCTTGCCTGCCCCTGCCGCCCCTGGCCCGCCTGACCCTCTGCCACTGCCCCCTGCCTGGCTGCTTCTGGCCTCTACCTCCCCTGCCCCCGACCTGCTGCCCTGCCTGATGCCTCCTGCTCCCCCCCTGCTTGTGCCTGCCTGCTGCCCCTAGCCCCCTGCCCTGCCTGCCTGACTTCGCCTGCCTGAATGCCTGCCTGTCCCCTTGCTCGCCCCCCCCTTGCCTGCCCCTGCCCCCCCCCCTGCCCTGCTGCCTGCCCCTTGACTCCTGCCCTGCCCACTGCCTCCCCCGAGTGTGCCCCCCCCCTTGCCTGCCCCCCTGCTCCCTGCTTGCTCATGCCTGCCCTCCCCCCATGTTGCTGCCCCTCTTGCTGCCCCTAGCCCTGCCTGTGCTCTGCTGCCCTTCCCTGTCTGCCTGCCCCCCCTGCGCTGCCCCCCTGCTGCTGAACCTCCTCTGCCCCCCCCCCCTGCTTGCGCTCTGGCTGCCTGCCTGCCTTGCCTGCTGACCTAATCCTGTCTGCCTTGACTCTGCTGTTCCGCCCTCCGGCCCCCTCCCGCACTGCCTGCTTCTCCCCCTGCCCCTGCCCCCTGCCCCCTGCTTCTGCTGCCCCCCTGCCTGCCTTGCCCCTGCTGCCTGCTGCCTCCTGCCCCGACCATGCTGACTCTGCCTGCCCTCCTCCCTGCTGCCCCTGTGCTGCCCTGCCTGCCTGCCCCCCCTGCTCCTGCGGCCTGCTGCTGCCCCTGACCTGCTGCCCCCTGACCTCCCCGTGCTTTCTGCCCCTGCTGCTGCTGCTGCTGCCTGCCCTTGCTGCCCCCTTCCTGCTGATCCGGCCTCCTCTGCCTGCCTGCTGCCTGCCCCCTGCTCTTGCTGCCCCTGCCCTGCTGCCTCTCCCTGCTGCCCCACTGACCCCCCCCTCTCCCCCCTGCCCTGCCCCTGTTACCTGCCCCTGCTGACCACCTCCCCCTCGCCTGCCTGCTCTGCCCCTCTTGCCTGCCTCCCCTCCTGCCCTGCTGCTACCCCCACCTGCTTCCCTGCTGCTGCTGTGCTCTGGCCCCCTGCTGCCCTGCCTGTTGCCTCTGCTGCCTGGCTGCCTGCTGCTTACTGACTGCCATGTGCCCCCCCCCATGCCCCATGCTCTGTGGCTGCCCCTCTGCTGCCTGCCCTGCCCTGCTGCTGCTGCCCCCCCCTTCCCTGCTGACCCTGCTGCCACCTCTGCCCCCTGCTGCAGTGCCTGCCTCCCCCTCCCCCCCCCTGCCCTGACCCCTGCTGCTGCCCCCCTGCCCCCCCCCCCTCCCCTGCCCTGCTGCTGTCTGCCCCTGCTCCCTGCTCCCCCACCCTGCCTCGCTGCTCCCTGCCCCCTGCTGCCCCCTGCTGCATGCCTGCCCCCCCTGTCCTGACCGTCCCCCTGCCCCTCACCCCCCCCTGCCTGCCTGCTGCTGCTGCTGCCCCTCCCTGCCCTGCAACTGCTGACCTTCCCTGACTGCTGCCCCTGCCTGCTGTGCCCCTGCTCTGCTGCCTGCCCATTGAACCCCTCTGCTGCTGCTGCTGGCTTGCCCTGCCCCTGCTGCACTGCCTGCTGCTCCACTGCCTTGCTGCCTGCTCTGCCTGCCCCTGCCTTGCTGCGCCCTTGCTGCTGCCCTGCTGCCTTCTCCTGCTCTGCCTGCTTCCTTGCTGCAGACCCTGACCTGCTGCCTGCCCTGCCCTGCTGCTCTGGCTCTGCTGCCTGCCCTGCTGCTCTCCTGCTCCTGCTGCTCCTGCCCCCTTCCATGCTGCACCTTACTGTGGTGCCCTGCCTGCCCTGCCCCCCGGGCCTGCTGACCTGATTGTGCCCCTGCTGCTGCCCCCTTGCTTCTGCGAGAGAGGCCTGCTCCTGCCTGCCCCCCATCCCCTGCCTGCCCCATGCTGCCTCCCTGACCTCCCTGCCTGCTGCCTGCCTTGTCTGCCCCATGCCTGCCCTGACCCCTGCCCCCCTGCCTGCTGCCCTTCCCTCCTTTGCCCTTGCCCTCCCTGCTTGCCTGCTCCCTGCTGCCCTGCTGACCCCCCTCTGCTCTGCTGCATCTCTCCCCTGCACCCCCCTCTGCTGCCTGCCTGCTGCTCCCTGCCTGCACCTACTGCTGCCCTGCTGCCTGCTCCCCTGCTGACCCCCCTGCTCTCTGCCTGCCTGCTCTCTGCCCTGCCTGCCTTGCCCCTGCTCCCCCGTGTTGCCTCCCTCTGCCCTCCCTGCCCTCCATGCCGACTGCCCCTCTGCTGCCCTGCTGATCCTGCCCTGCCCTCTGCTCTATTGCTTGCTCTGCTGCCCCCCTTGCCCCTGCCTGCTGCTCTGCTCTGCTGCTGCTGTTGCCCTCTGCTGCTGCCTGCCCCTGCCCCCCCCCCCTGCTGCCTGCCTGCACGCCCCCCTGCCCCCCCTGCCTGCTGCCTGCCTGCCTTGCTGCCTGGCCTGACCCCCTTGCCTGATCTGCCTTGCCCCCCCCTGCTGCCCTTGCTCCGCTGCCCCCCCTGCCCCATGCTGCTTGCTGTGCCTGCTCCCTGCTGTCCCTCCTGCCTGACTGCCTGCTGCCTGTGCTGACCCTGCCCTGCCTGCTGGGCCCTTGCTCCCCCTGCTGCTTGCCCCCCTGCCTGCCTCTGCTGCTCTGCCCCCCTGCCCCAGCCCTCCCCCCTGCTTCCCCTGCTGCTTGTGACTTGCTGCCTCTGACCCCCCCTGAGGCCTGACTTTTGTGACTGCTGCGCCTGCCCCTGCCCTGCCCACCCTCTGCTTGCCCCTGCCTGCCCCTGCCCCCTTGGCTGCTGCCTGCTGCCCTGCCCTCCCCCTGCTGCCCCCTGCTGCCCCCCACCTGCTCCTGCTGCTTCCCCCCCCCTGCCCTCCCCCCCCCTGGTGCTCTGCTGCTACCCTCTGCCGGCCCCTGACCCATCCTTGCCCCTGCCCTGCTCCTTTGTTTTGCCTGCCTCACTGCCCTCTGCTGCTGCTGACCTGACCTCCTGCCTTGCCCCCTCTCTCCCCCTTGCCTGCTCTCCTGCTGCTGGCTGCTGCCCTCTCCCTGCCTGCTGCCTTGCCCACTCCCCCTGCCTGCTGCCCCTGCTGCCCTGTCCCTGCTTGCTGCCCATGCTGCCTGACTACTGCTGCCCGCCCCCTTTTTTTTTTGGCCTGCCTCTGCCTGCCTGCTGCTGCTTCCCTACTGCCCCTGCGCCTGCCCTCCCTGCCCTGCCCTTGCTTGCCCCCATTGCTGCCCCTTCTCCTCTGCATGCCTGCCTGTGGACCTGCTGCCCTGACCGCCCCCTGCCTGTGCCCCTCCTCCTGCCTGCCTCGCTGCCCTGCGGCCTCCTGCCTGCTCCCTCCCGCCTCCCTGCCTCCTCTCTCCCCTCCCTCCTCTCCTCCCCCCTTCCCCCGCCCCCTCCTGCTGCCTCTCTGCCTCTCTCCTCTGCCCTCCTCCTCCCTTTCCCACTCCCTGCTCTGCTCCCTCCTCCTCTTGCCTCCCTCTCCCTCCCCCTCCCCTTCTCCCCCCCCTGCCCCCCCCTCCCCTTTCCCCCCCCTACCTTCCTGCCTGCCCTCCTCCTCCTCTCCCTCTCCTGCCCTCTTCCTCCTCCTCCCCTCCTTCTCCCTCCCCCCCCCCTGCCCCCCCTGCTGCTGCCTCCCCTGCCCCCCCTGACTGCTCTGCTGCCCCTTGCTCCCCCCCTCCTGCTGCGCCTGCTGCCTTCCCTGCCTGATATCTGGCTGCTCCCCCTCCTCTGCTGCTGCCTGCCCCCGCCGTTGCCTGACCCCCTGGCAGACCCCTGCTCCTGCCTGTGCCTGCCCCCCCCTCCCCCTGATGCTGCCCTGCCTCTGCTGCTGCTTGCCCCCTGCCTGCTGATCCTGCACTGACTGCTGCCCCCCCTGCCTGCCTCTCCTTGCTTGCCCTGCTCGCCCTGTCTGCTCTGCTGGCCCCTGCTTCCCTGACCTGCCTGCTCCTGCCCTGCTCTGCTCTGCCTCCCACCTGCTTCCCCTCTGCCCTTGCCTGCTTCCCTGCCCCCCTTGACCCCTCTGCTCTGCCCTGCTGCTGCTGACTGCCCTGCCCTGCTGCCTCTGCTGCCCCCTGCCCTGCCTGCCCCCTGACTGCTGCCTGCTGCCCTGCCTCCCTGACTGCATTGCTGCCTGCTGCCTGCTGCCTCCTCCTGCCCCATGCTAGCTGCTGCCCCTGCTCCTGCCGGCCCCCCTGCTGGCTTGCTGATTACCCCATGCTGCTGCTGCTGCTGCCCCTGTCTGCCCATGCCCCTGCCCTGCTGCCCCCCTGCCTGCCCACCTTGCCTCCTGCTGCCCCTGCTCTGCATGCCTGCCCGCCCGAGTTAGCCCCCTGTGCTTCTGCCTGACTCCCCTCTGCCGCTGCTTGCTGCTGCTGCTGCCTGTCCCTCCCTGCCTGCTGCCCTCCCTGCCCTGCCCCTGGCTAGCTCTCTCCTGCCTCTGCCCTGCCCTGCTGCCCATGCTCTCCCCCCTGCTCCCCTCCCCCACTGCCCCCCCTGCTGCCCCCCCCCCTCGCTTGCCCTTGCCCCCTGCCTCCTGCTGATGCCTGCCCCCCTGCCTGCCCCCCTGCCTAGCCCTCCATGCCCCCCCCTGGCTGCCTGCTCACCACCTGCTGCTGCTGGCTCCTGCTGTGCTCCTGCTGCCACTCACTCTGCTCTCTGCCCTGACCCTGCCCCCCCTGCTGCCTGACCTTCTGCTGTCCCCCCTCTGCACCTCCCGCCTCCTCTTGCCCCTGCCCCCATGCCCTCCCTGCTGCCCCTGCCCTCTCCTCTGCTGCTGTCTCCCCTCTGCTCCCCTCCTTGCTCCCTGTTGCTGCCCCTGCCTCCTGCTGACTGCTGAGCCGTGCCTGCTGCTCCCCCCCTGCTCTGCCGGCCCTGCCTGCCCCCTTGCCTGTCCTGCCTCCCTGCTGCTCTGACCTCCCTGCCTTCTGCTGCCCCCCCTGCTGCTCTGCTGCCCCCGCCCTGCTGCCCCCTCTGCTCCTGCTGCTCCTGGTGCCCTGCTGACTGCCTGCTCCCCTGCCCCCCTGCCTGCTCCTGCTGCTTACCCTGCTCCCCTCTGCCTGATGCTGCCCCTCCCCTCTCTGCCTGCGCTTGCCTTGCCCCCCCCCCCTGCCTCTCTGCTCTGCCCCTGCTGCCCTGCTCCTCTCTCCCCCCCTGATACCCTCCTGGCCTGCCATGCCCCTGCCCCCCCTGACCTCTGCCTGCTCATGCCTGCTGCTGACGGACCTGCCTGACTGCCTAGCTTTGCGCTTCTGCCTGCCCCTGCCCTGCTGTGCCCCTGCCCCTGCTTGCTGCCTGCCCTTGCCTGCTGCTGCTGCCCCTGCCCTGCTGCTGCTGCCTGCTTGATCCCTGACCTGCCGCTGCCTCCTCCTCCCTGCCCACCTTGCCTGCCTGCCCATCTGCTGCACCCTGCTCTTGCTTGCCTGCCCCCCTGCCTCTGCTGCCTGGACCTCCTCCTGCCCCCCCTGCCCCCCTTCCCCATGACCTGCCCTGCCCGTCCCCCCTCTGCCCCCCCACTGCTGCCTGCCTGCTCACCCCCCCTCCCTTGCTGCCTGTGCCCTGTGCTGCTGTGCTTGCTCTCTGCCCTGACTCTGCTGCGCCTGCCCCTGCCTGCGACCCTGCCTGCCCTGCCCCCCCTTCTGTGCCCTGCCTGATCTGCCCCCCTGCTGCCCTCCCGATTCCTCCTTGCCTCCCTGCCCTGCCTGCTGCCCTGCCTGCCCCCCCTGCCTCCCCTGCTGCCCTCCCCATGATGCCCCTCTGCTGATCTGGCCCCCTGCCCTGCTCCCTGCCCTGCCATTGCTCCCTCCTGCTGCCCCCCTCCCTGCCTGCTGCCCCCCCCTGCTGCTCTTGCACCCTGCCCTGCTGCTGCCCTGACTGCCCCTGCCCCTGCTGCCCCTGCTCCCCCTGCCCCTCCACCCTCCTCGCTGCTGCTGCCTTATTGCTGCTGCTGCTGCCTGGCCCCCTGCCTTACTGCTGCCCTGCTGCCCCCCCTGTGCCCTGACCCTGCCCTCTGCCTCCACCCCCGACTTGGCTTGCTGCCCCTGCCTTGCCTCTCTGCTGCCTGCCCCACTTGCCCCCTCCCTCCCCCCTGCCTGCCCTGCTCTGTGACTGCCTGCCTGCTGCTGATATCCTGCCCCTCTTGCTGCCCCCCTGCCCCTGCCCCCCTCTGCTTCCTCCTCTGACCCTGCCTTGCTGCTGCCCTGCCCTGCCCTGCCCTGCCTGCTGCCTGTCTGCACCCCTCCCCCCTGCCCCTTGCCACTGCCCCCTCCCTGCCCCCTGCTCTCTTGCTCTCCTGCCTGCCCCCTGACCCCTCCCTGCTGCCTCTGCCTCCCTTGCCCTGCCCCCTGCCTGCTGCCTGCCCCGCCTGCCCCCCTGCTGCTGCCTGCCTTCTGCCTCCCCTGGCTGCCCCCTGCGCCCTGCCCCTCTGACTCCCTGCTTGCTGCCCCCTGCTGCTTGCTCTGCCTGTGCATCCTGCTCTGCTGACTCCCTGCCCTCTGCCTGCCCCTGCCTCTGTCCCTGCCCTGCTCTGCCTGCTGCCCTCCTGCTGCCTCCTCCTCCTCTCTGCCCTGCCTTCTCCTGCCCTGCCTCTGCCTGCTGCCTGCCCCTCTGTGCTCCTGCCTGCCTGCCTCTGCTGCCTCCTCTGCTGCCCCTCCTGCCTGCCCCTCTGCTGCTGCTGCCTCTGCCCTCCCTGTGCTGCTGCTTCTCCTTTTGCCCTCTGCTGCTGCTGCTCGCTGCCCCTCTGCCCTCTCTGCCTGCTGCTCCTGCCCCTCTCCTGCCCCTGCTGCCCTCCCCTGCTCTCTGCCTGTCTCTGCCCTGCTCCCTGCTTCCTGCTGCTGCCTCTGTTGCCCCCCTCCTGCCCCCTGTCCCCCTCCTGCCCTTGCCTTTTTGGGTGCCCCTGGCCTGCCTGTTTTGCCCCTGCCTGCCCCCCTCTTGCTGCTCCTGGCCCTGCGGGCCTGTGCTCTGCCCGGGCTGCTCTCCCCCTCGGGCCTGCTCCCTGCCCCCTTGCCTTCTGTGCCCCCCCCCCCTCCTGCCCCCCCTTTGCCCCCTCCCCGGGGGCCCCTGT